TTTTGATTAAATGAATTAATTTCCCTGTTGCCACTGATGACGACCTCTGGACGTTGAAACGCGTATGGCACTAGCGTCTTTTTTATAGTGTTAATAGTTTGTTTGTTTGTTTGTTTGCTTATTTTATATTCTAATACACTGCACGGTATGCAAAGTTTTAAGATTAAAACTAAATAGCTATGATATTTTGAGCAATATCAGTGGAATAACAGTTTTTTGACAATTATAATTCCTGAGAAATTGGACTCTACGAGATACAGTCATGAAAATATATTAACACAGTTTTCTACACAAAATTTAATGAAGTAAACCTAATAGAATTTCCATATTTATGTATTTAATAATTACAATGTTGATTCGATTACGAATATGTAATATGAAGTATCTCTGCCATTTGCAGATGAAGTCTTATCTGGAATAGACGACTTTTTACTTCGGTGCAAAAGATGTCCGGCAGCTCAGAAGGGACGTGAGGAAGACTACTCTTACACGGACTACAAAGATGAAGATTATCCTTCCTATCCCGTAAGTTAAACACCGATCATTGCGCATGAACACGGTTTAGGTTTTGTAAGTAGGTGATGAGCAGGAGGTACGGCCCAAAACTGTCGATGAAGATGCTATCTGGTGAGATTTCAGATTCTCATGGTAGTGCGTGTGAAGCCGACTTTCTTCTGGGACGTAGCATCAAGTAGTCGGGTGGTGCCTTCGTCATCGTGGTGACGAGCATGCTGCACGCAAGGAATCGTCATGAGATAATCAAACAGGTTGGGCAAGGCGCGACCTTGTCTGGAGCAAGACTTGAGGTGAGCGGTGGTAAAGAACACGGGAACCAGAGGGAAGGGCGGGGGAGAAACGTCATGTAGAAGATAAACGGGTAAAGGAAAGGGGGCCTGTCCTGGAGCTACAGGAATGTCACTGGACATGCAACAAGGACTTATGAAAAGTCGGTGAATGTCTTGACAGAGTACGTGGAACTACAACGCAGAAGAGAGCCGTCTTCATACTTACTGCCGTGAGAACCTCAAATCGTACAGTTTTTGGTTTTTTACACGATTAAGGTGTTTCCGATTTCTTGGTTCGTCTTCAAAATTTCTATTTTCCCTTCCGTGGTCCAGATAGCAAATTTTTTTTTTTCAGGATGTGTGGGGTGCCTCCTGAATTCTGTGAATAAATGTCGCTAATAAAATCTTGACACCTTCTGCCGGCGTTTTTGCTTGCCAGGTCCACTTTTTCCAAGTAATTTTCAAACTTACAGCTCTAATCTTTTTCGAAAAGTTATCTTGAGTGTCTTTCCTCTCTTCCTTTATGTTTCACAAAAAATTGTGGGTGTAATTGAAAATTTATTAATGATAAAGGGACAGGTGGAGAGATGTGGTTTAGCAATGAAATGGCTAGAATCATAATACGGAACGGAGAGGCGTAATTGCATATGTCTAGGTCATTGAACTCAAAATT